TAACCTAACCCTTACCTTTATGTGAATCGGCTTGCTGTAATTTAATTTTTATTTCAATTTTTCGATCTTTTTCGTCGCTTTTGTGGAACGCGGTTTTGACGGGTCACGCTACCTTTCTGTCTCCAACTGACCAATTAAAAGATGCATTGTTTTATTTTATTTTTTTCCCCACATTCCCTTTCAGAACATCGCAACCAACGTCATTCTCGCAAGAGCAAGCATCACGTGTCCCGTAAGAACAAATGCAGGAGGTTTTTGAAACACTGCGCTTTTCAAGGGATCCATGTCCCTTTATAGTTTATCCTGGTTTTCTCGGCAACACCCAAGGGGATTTTTTAAGGTGCAATGTTGATTCTTGAATTATGCGCCTTTCAGATTTTTTTAAAAATATCCTTGTTTGCTCTACGTTGGTTGGAAATAAAGCTCTGAGTTTGGGGTGTGTGAATTGTGTGGACAAATAAAAACAATAATGAAACTTGCTAGACGCCTGCTTTGCACATTTTGCAACCCCTTGTAAAACCCGGAGAGGTGCAGAAAATAAAGGCGTTCCAATGGGGGAAATCGTTTACAAATGGGAGTGAACCCTTTGCAAAATGCTAACCAAAAAATGGAGGCAAGGTTCTACCTACAAGCAGAACAGAAAAGAATAATAGAGCTGGAAGGGACCCCGGAGGTCTTCTAGTCCAACCCCCTGATTAGGCAGGCAGGGAAAACATTTATCATTTCAGACAAATGCCCAATCTCTTTGATGGGAAGCTGACTCAACCTTGAGTCGGTCAGGATTGAACTGCTGGCAATGGGCAGAGTTTGCCCGGAATGCTGCATTCTGTGCCCACCCTGTTAGTCTACATGATTTTATTTATAAAATTGGTTAATCCTGGTAAAAATATACGAATGCAGAATATAAATCACAGTAGGAGAGAGCTACTTAAACACCAGACGGCCGATAAGGCTGAATTTACACATTTATATTGGTAAGTGGGAAATTTGTGGAGTGAATTTTGCACCATTTTGCCACTTTTCTTGCCACAATTGCTAAGTGAATCACTGCAGTTGTTAAATTAGGAACACTGTTGCTAAGTGAATTTGGCTTTCCCCGTGACTTTGCTGCTCAGAAGGCGGCAAAAGGTGATCACATGAGCCCAGGACGCTGCAACCGTCATAACTATGAACCAGTTGCCAAGCATCCCAATGTAAATAAATCACATGACCATGGGGATGCGGCAGTCATAAGTGTGAAAAGTATAAGTCACTGTTTTCAGTACCGTTGCAACTTTGAATGGTCACTAAATGAACTTTTGTAAGTGGAGGACTACCAGTACCATTTCAGGCAAATGGATGTCCAGTCTCTTCTTCTTAAAAGTCTCCAGTGATGGAGCACCCACAGCTTCTGGTGGCAAGCTGTTCCACTGGTTCATTGTTCTAACTGTCAGGAAATTTCTCCTTAATTCTAAGTTGCTTCTCTCCTTGATGAGTTTCCTGTTGCTTCTTGTTCTACCCTCAGGTGCTTTGGAGAATAGTTTGACCCCCTCTTCTTT